TCCATTCCCCCTTGCTACCTCCCCCTTCCCTCCTGGTATCACCACTGTCGCCCCCGGTCCCGAGAGGCTCCTCCGTCCTAGATTCCCTGCGCTTCCAACTCCCATCCGCACCGCTGTGTATCATCTGGTCTAACCAGGTCTGCAAGGCGAAACTGGGGTCCTGGTAGTTGGGGGGGAGGACCTACTTTTAAGCAAGAGAACGTTACAGGGCAATTCCTCGCTAGGACACGGGGTCCCCAAGAGTTTATATGCACTCAGTGGCCTCCTGACAACAGGTGGCTTAAAACCAAGGAAACGTATTCCCTCAGTTCCAGAGACCGGAAGCCCGGAAGCAACGTGGAGCCAGGGCTGAGTGCCCTCTCGCTACTCAAGGGGGCGTCTGTTCTTGCCTCTCCAGCTCCCGAGACTGTCTGCATTCCTGGGCTTGTGGCTGCATCAATCCAACCTCTGCTGCCGAGGGCACATGGCCTCTGCCTCTTCACCGTCTCTCTCTCCCCCGTGTATCTCTTACAAGGATGCTTGTCCCTGGAATTAGGGCTCATTTCAAGATCCTTAACTGTGTCTGCAAATAAGGGTCCCAGGATGATGACTAAATAGATCTTCTGGGGGCTTCCTTTCAGCCCAGTGCGGAGCCCTGGTGGTGTAGTGGTCATGCGTGGGGCAGCTAACCACAAGGTGGGCAGTTGGAAGCCACCAGCTGCTCCAATGGAGAAAGACGGGGCTTTCTACTCCCATAAAGAGTGACCATCTCAGAAACCCATGTGGGCAGTTCTGCCCTGTCCTATGGGGTCACCAGGAGTAGGAGTCGATTTGACAGCAGTGAGCGTTTTCTAATTCAGCCCACTGCACCAAGCCATACGTCATCCACTGGCATTAGATCATGGAGCTTGTTATTTATTTTCTGTCTCCCAGAGTAAAATGGAGACTTGCCAGACCAGGCCCCCATGCAAAAAAAACCAAACACAAAAACAAGAAAACCAAAGCAAATCCAAGCCCCCCCAACACAGGTCTCCGGAGGGCCATATCAACTGGATGATAAAAGCAGGAAGTACCCAGGACTGGGTGCTATTGTTAGACCTGTTGTGCAGGCAGGCTAACCGGAAGATGCTGGCTACTCAGTGAAGATGCTTCTAGAAAACTGCCGTGAAGGCATGTTGCAGATATAGCTAAAGTCCGGTCAACTAGTCTTCAGATACAGGGATGTTATCTAGGTGGTCCACAGCCCATCAGGGGAGCCCCTTCAAAGCAGAGTTTTCTTGGGTTATAGCAGGAGAGAGAGCCAGAGAGGGAGCTTGATGCACCATTGCTGGTTTGAAGGGGGTGGGGTGGGGGTGGGACACCCCCAGCAACTTGAGAGTTGCCTCTCGGAGCTGAAGAGGATCCTAGGATCTGAGAGTGACCATCAAGGAAAACAAGGATCTCGGTCCCACGGCTG